CTCTGTCCCCGGCCCTCTGCCCCCGGCCCTCTGCCCCTGGCCCGCTGCCCCACAGCGCAGCAGTGACTTCACCCTTCCCTGGCCTGCCCAGCCCTGGCTTCTCTGCCATCCGTATCTTAGTGCATGGCGCACCTGCTGCCTTGGCACAAGGAAAGAACAGTGGGTCTGGAAGGACCTGGGGCTCACAGGAGGGTGGTGTACCCAAGTCTGGGTTCCTCCAGGCGTCGAGGCGCCCAGGACCGGCTCTTTACTACAGCGAGGCTGGTTCCCTGACTGAGACCACGGGGGGACGCCCAGCGGGGCTCTCCCAGGATTAGGCTGAGGCCAGAATTTAAGTCGATGACTCCCCAATGTCCTCGGTAGCGAAAATGTACAGAATCCAGTCAGCTCACTTCTGCGCAGGGACTGTTTTCATGAACCCAGCTTTGTTGGAACAAAGGCTGGGGCTAGGGGAGGAGAGCCGGAGGGTCGAGGAGGCCCGGTGAGATCTGGGACAGGAGGCCTTCAGCGTGGCAGCTGCCAGGAGTCTCCCCCCAGGCTTCGAGGTGTCTCACTCGCTTGGGGGCCCCACCCTACGTGGCAGAGACATGCCAAGCCTGGCTGGGGTGAGGCGGCGGGCAGAGGGCCACACCGCGGGGTGGTGGGCAGCCGGGCGGGGCCCCCTCCTTGCAGTGGCCCAGGGCTCTTTGCCAGATGACATCTGCAAACCCCCCAACACGTGCCCCGGCGAACAGTCCTCCCCTGAGGTCCAGAGGGGGGCAGCTTGCCTTGGCACACCCCGGGGGCCACCACGAGTCAGTGACCCACGTCCACCCCGGCCCAGGGCCAGGCTTCTGCATTCGGCTGTGCTGGCACGGAGCCCCGTGGGTTCACGTGACATTGGCCTCTCTGTGGCTGCCAGTGTTGGCCCCAAAGCCGTCCACCTCCAGCACCCAAATGTGTGTGATGTGCGTGACGAGGGAGGGCCTGAGGCTGCGGGTGGGAGTGACATTGCTCATTAATGAGGTGGGGTCCTAGTGCCCCCACCCCCCGCCAGGGTCCTTGCCCAGGGAGGAGGAGGTCGAGGCCCAGCGGGGAACAGGCCCAGCGGCCGGCTGTGAGGAGGGAGGCAGGGTCTGAGCGGGGTGTGGCACTTCCCGGGCCGGGCAGGCGACTGGCAGCCTCCCAGCTGCCACCGTTGAGCCCCGGGCGAGACTCCCGGCCTCCAGGGCTGAGATGACACGTGTGCGCTGGTTCAAGCCGCTGAGCTTCGTCACAGCAGCCATGAGAAGCTTCTCCGCGTTCCTGCATACAACAGGGCGGCAGTTTACAGATGAGCAAATGGAAACGCAGAGGCCAGCAGCTTCCCGACCGACGCAGCCCCGGGCTGAGGTCCTGCCATGGCCACCCTCGCGAGGCAGCCCCAGGGGCAGGGGCGGGTACAGGGCACGAAGGGACAGCTGCTCTTTACAGCACCAGGAATCATCTGGCTGAACACAGGCCGGAAAGAACCTGGGGGGGTGCCCAGGAGTGTGTCTGGGCTGGGAAGGCAGGGCTTGGGTGGCAGACTGGCGAGAACCCCCACACCACTCCCACGCCGCCTGGGAGGGAGACCAAGGCGAGGTCATTCAGCCCCCCACGCCCTCGTCCTGTGTGCTGATGGCTGGGTCCCCATCCTGGGTTTTGGGGAACCCCATAGGCCTCCCTCTGAGAGGTCCCCCCTTTGAGTTTCCTGTTACCAGTGCAATGGGTCCCACTTTAGCTGGGCCCTGGTCACGCTAGGAAGACCCCACGTGGGTCTCCTCTCCCACGCCCCAGAGACAGGGTTCAGGAAGTCCCGGACCTTCTGTCTGGTTTGAATCGGATCTGGGCAGCCCCTGCAAATGGGGAAACGGAGGCACGCGGGCACTCATTTGCTCTGTTGTAGGAGGAAAGGGGAAATGGGACCTCTAGGAAAGACCCCGTCTGCTCCCAGCGCTCTAGCTTCTTTGAAATCAGTCACGGCGGGGTCCCAGGGCCCAGCTAAGTCCCTGTCCTGCTTCTGTCTCCTCCAGGGAAGGAAAGGAATGTTCTTCCCACGTTCCCATGGGGAAACTGAGGCCAGGAAGGCAAACGAGAGGCTGCCCTTGGCTGTGGACTCTGCTGGCTGCCCTGGCCTGGTCCACCTTCCAGAAAGGACTTTACGGAGTGGGGCTTTGAGCTCAGCCAGGAGGTCCTGTCTCGTGTCCTGCCCATCGGGTGGGGTTCGCAGAGACAGAGCACCTTGTAGGGCTACTCCCAGCCCTCAAGGCTCTGGGCTTCCCCAGGGTCCTCGGGCGGGGAGGGAGAAGAGACCCCGCTCCTGGCCGGGCCTGCGGGGGAGCCTCAGCCCAGGAGAGGGCGGGACGGAGGGGCCGAACCTCCCTCCGGCCCGCAGAGGTGTGTCCGCGGCACTGGGCACTCGAGGGCAGCGTGGGCAGCTTGTGCTGTGGCCGCTGGGGTCGTCCAGACATTCCCATTCCACAAATGGCCTGAGGCTCGGGTCCCTTCTGGGGCTGGGGCCTGTGGCCCCCCGCCTCCACCTCTGGGCCTCACAGCCTCTCTTCTTTGTTCCCTCCGACTCGCCTCCTTCCACTAGAAAGAAACAGAAGATCTGAATTTTGTTATTAAATTGGTTTCATTTTATTGGATTCCAACCACATACACAGGGTGGGCACGGGGGCGGGGTCACTCAGGCACTGGGGGTCTTGGTGGGGTGAGGGCAGGCAAGGGGGCTGGGAGACCCCAGTACAGCGCTGCTCTGAGTCCTGACACTGCCATCACGCACCCCCTCTTCGATGATGCAAAGGCACTTGGATGATGTTTTGCGGGCCCTGGGGCTGTCATGGCGACCAAGGTCAGGAAGAGGCTAAGGCAGGAGTTCCGCCTGACTCGGGTGGAGTTTGGCGCTGCTGCTGGACACCCCCGTTGGCCCTCGCCCACGTCCCCCCACACCTGGGCTTGGGGACCCCCGCCTGGCCGACAGTGGTCCGTGGCTTACCCTTGGCCTCGCTGGTCTGTCAGGTTCTGCGGAGGCAGGAGCAGGTGCGAGTCAAGCCCAGGAGAATACCGGGGTCCCCGTCCCTCCAAACCTCCATGGCTGACCCAGCTCCTCCCTGGTTCCTCTCAGAGAGGTTGAGGGTCTTTGTCCAGGGGCCCGGCCTTGCCCTCTGCAGCGGTAGGGCTGACCTCTGCTATGCTACAGCCGGGGCCCGGGGGGGCCTCAGTCGTCACTGGGTAGGAACAACGTGGACCCCGAGCCTCCCTGTAGGGGAACTGTCCTGACCCCCTTAGCCGCCAAGTTCCTTTCTAGCTGAGATCCACCAGAGGTACTTTTCCATGCCTCTTCCCCACGGACGACCTAGCAGTCAACTGGCCGGGGTGGGGGGCAAGAGCTGGGGGCCAGGGCCACAGAAGGTCCCTGGCTGATATCTGAGCACTTCTGCAAAGCCTCAGCTCCTGGGCGCTTGCCTGTGACGGGAGCCCCCGCTGCGGGATAGAACAGTCTGCCCCCCAGAGCCGGGTCAGCTGGGTGTGAGACGTGCGTGCTCCGCTTAGACCACTGTGTCCCGGGAACGAATTCATGTATGTTCCGAGTCAGGGGTCGGGCATCCCAGTGTGGAGAGTGGGGATTGCAGGTGCCTTCCTTTAGGTTGGGGTGTCCCAGGCATGACCATCTCCCTGGGGTGTGAGCTGCGGGCTGTGAGGACCCTGGGGTCTCTGTGGCTGCCCCCCAGCTCAGCCAGCACAGCAGGGGTGAGAAGACCGTGGAGGAAACTTTACAAAACGCTTGAGAAACTGCAAAAGATGCCCCCTGATGGAAAAAACAGTCCCGTGGGTGGGTATCTACAAAAAAGGGGAATTCTGCGGGGGCCCGCTTGAGGCTGGCCCCCGAGAAAATGCATAGGTGTCATCAGCGGGCCAGCGGGCGGCTGGCAGGGGGTGACCAGCGCACCCGCCGTGGTCGGGGAGCCGCGGGCTCAGCGCCGCAGCACGGCGGCCAGCCCAGGTCCCTCAGATCATCTTCATGTTGAATTTGCGCGCGCCCCCCTGGCCGGCCGCGGCCGCGGGGCCGTCGACCTTCCGGAACGAGTACTCCACGGAGAAATTGTTCTTGTGCTGCCCGCGGCCGCGGCTCCACACGAAGAGCAGCAGGAAGCAGAAGAGGACGACGCCGAGGAAGGTGATGCAGCCCATGGCGGTGGACACCAGGATGGTGGTGAGGTCCAGCGGGAAGCGCGGCGCCGCCTGCGTCTCATTGCGGGCCTCGCCGGGGGTCCGGTTGGAAGCCGGCTCGGGCTGCACCGTCAGCGTGGCGAAGTAGGTGTCGTTGCCCCCGGCGTTGCTGGCCACGCACGTGTAGGTGCCGCTGTCCTGTGGCCGCGTGTCCTGGATCTCCAGCGTGCCCCCTGGCAGCACCCGCGCGCGGCCGGTGCTGGCGGC